TCGTGCACCTAATTATCAGGAGGGAAAAAACACACAGACACAATTAATCGTCGATTCCTTAGAAAATATGGGAAAGACAAAAACCCAGAAAATATAGGAAAATATTTGGAATCCTTTTATCTGTGTGTATTTATTTGTGTGTCCCAGGGCTCCTTCAAATTAGGCTCGAAGAAGAAGCAGAAACTGCTTAAACATCAGCTTCCGGCGCTCCCCGCGGAGTTCTCGGACCCGGTGCGGGGCCCACCCTCGCGCGGCGCCTCCCGGCGCCGCCCCGGGGCGCGCGCTCGGCGCGCCGTGGAGGGGGATCCGGCGCGGATCCGAGAAGTCAGCGCGGAGCGCCAGAAGTCTACGTTGATGCCTAAGTCGGGCATGTCCCTCGACAGGAGGACAATTCGAACATAGTCAAACAAAACGTCTGGGGACGACGTTTCTATTAATGCTATGTTTTGGTTTTAGCACTTTTAGGGAAGTGTTTGTGCTTTAGTCGGGCATGTCCCTCGACAGGAGGACAATTCGAACATAGTCGAACAATATTCTGGGGACGATGTTCCCAGTATCTTTATGTCTTGGTTCTAGTACTCTGTGGGGAAATATTATATTGCTCGTCCCACATCCACCTGTCGGAGTGCATGCCCGAGCTACGTTTATGCATTGTTTCTTCCTCTTCTAGAGGACACCGCTGGGTCCAGAAGGGGCTCACTGCTCCATAAACCCCTCCGTGGTCTTTCCTCTGCCCTCCTCGTGCAGTCAAAGGCGCGGAGCGAAGGACCACTTTGGGTCCGGAAGGGGCTTGCTGGTTCGGCAGTAAATAGCGATGATACGCTTTGTGATGCAATGCTACACTACGCAATGCCAAGCCATGCTATAATATTCTCTGCTCTGCCGCGCTCTTCTACACCGTGCTATGCCGCGTTTTACCATATATTTCAAACCCTCTCGGGGTCATTGCCTTGCTCGGCATCGGCTTGTGCGCATAAAGAAGATATCTGCGCTATGGTAAGAGTTGGGGGGGAGGGGGTATGACGACAGATATGACGCGAGCACGCCTAGCTTGTCCTCCCTCCCTTGCTCTTCCTCCTCCTCCTCCTCCTTCACCACATCCTCCTCCTCCTCGTCCTCCTCCTCGTCCTACTCCTCCTCGTCCTCCTCCCCCCCTTCCTCCTTCTCCTCCATTCCTTTCCCTTAACATAATTCTTCACGCTTCGCGTATCCCCACCAGCCCATCTCAAAACAGCAACTCTTGCGAAACATGAGGCCTCGTAGTGCCTCCTGGGGACCTCTTGTGGGCCATCTGGGGCACTCTAGGGGCCATCTGGTGGACCTCTGGGGGCCATCGTGGGGGGCTTGTATGAGCGCTGCCCGTCCTCCTGGTGTGACTCGTTCGGGCTCCTCGTGGTGTGAGTCGTTCGAGGCCCGCGTCGTGGTGTGAGTCGTTCGGGCTCCTCATGGTGTGAGTCGTTCGGGCGGCTCGTCCTGGTGTGAGTTGTTCGGGCCTCTCCTTGTGGTGTGAGTCGTTCGGCTCTTCGTGGTGTGAGTCGTTCGGGCCCCTCGTCCTGGTGTGAGTCGTTCGGGCTCCTCGTGGGGCCTCTTGGGGGCCTCTTGGAGCTTCTTGGGGCCTCTTGGGGGCTTCTTGGGGGCCTCTTGGGGGCCTCTTGGGGGCGTCTTGGGGCCTCTTGGGGCCTCTTGGGGGCCTCTTGGGGGCCTCTTGGGGGCCTCTTGGGGCCTCTTGGGGGCCTCTTGGGGGCCTCTTGGAGGCCTCTTGGGAGCCTCCTGGGGGCCTCTTGGGGCCATCTTGGGGCCTCTGGCGATCTCTTCTGAAGCGCAAATGAGCGCTGCCCCTTGAGAAGGACAAAATGAGCCCAAAACCTCCGTAAAATCAATGATTTTGCTATGGAGGAAGAGACGCGCGGCCCCCTCAGGAGGCCAAAATGGGGCCAAAACCGTAGTAAAATCAACTATTTTTGTTTCAAAGAAGAGCAGAGGGGCCAAACTCGGCCCCCCCGTCGGGGCCAGAATCCTAGTGAGGGTCGTCGTTTTTTGGCCCTCCCAGGAGTCGGGACAGACCCCCCTGAGAACACTTGGGACTCCCTGTCCAGGCCCAGGGGGAGGGGGTAGGGGGAAGGGTAAACCCCTCCCCGAAGGGGAAGAAGGGGGGTTGAGGACAGAGAGAGCTCTCTAAACCACTCACGCCCAAAGGGCTGGTGGGATTTCTCCCTGGCGCATCCGCAGGCCAGTTTTTAGGGCGGGCCGCGCGTTTTGCTTGAGATTTCCTCACCATTTATGCTTCTGAAGCTTAAACAGTGGCAGCAGTTTCACAGATGGAGAGCGGGTGTTTTTCACAATGTGGCTCTCGCCTTAGCGCCGCGCGCCTTCGTTTTAAACGTGTACAAGACTATCACGGTTTGGCGTCCATTAGCGTCGATTGGCGTCTTGGGAGTCGATGAGATAGCGCCGATGTAGCGATTAGCGTCGATTGAGCGTCGATTAGCGTCGATTTACGGTCAACTAGCGTCGATTTGTAAGGGCCGACAGGATGGTACGGGAGGCTCCTATGAGTTGCCACCGAACGTTGTTCCTCGGATCCCTCCGTGGTTGTTCCTGTAGCCCTCCTCGTGCACCTAATTAGGCTCGAAGATGAAACAACTGCGTAAACATAAATTTTCGGCGCTCCGCGCAGATTTCTTGGATCTGCGCTGGGACCCCCCGCCGGCGCCTTCGGCGCCGCCCCTGTCGCGCTCCGTGCGCCAGTGAGTGGGTCCAGCGCAGGTCCAAGAAATCTACGCGGAGCGCCAACAGTTTATGTCTATGCCGTTTTTACCTCTTCAATAGGCGCTTCTGGGGCCCATGAGGGGCTGAGTTCCTTGTTTAGCGTCCCTTCTGGAAGTATCTCGACTGCACAAACACTGCGATGGCTGGTGTCTGCACGAAGCCACCGCCCCAGATGGTCCCTGGCCAGGCACGGCGATGGTGTCCATGTGAGGGCCGCAAAAATCCTGTTATATCACTCGCGTGCCAGCCCAGCACGACTGCCACGACGTACCACCACGGCCTTGTCTCGGCGACACGAAGGCTGGGTGAAGTCTCACCCGCACGGTGCTTGCACCTGATGAGGCTCGTGAGCCTTCGCTGGGGAACCCTCGAGCCGAAGCTGGAGCGGCGGCGGAGCCGTCTACACAAAGGGAGAGAGAGAGAGAGAGAAGAACAAAAAAAGAGGCCGGGGCCGCAAACAGGGGGTACTGGCACAGTGAACCCGCACAGTAAGAATAAGCGAATTTGCAAGGCTGCCTTGGCATTATTACCCTTCGGCCCTTCCTTGGTCGCTTTCGCTGGCCGCGCACCGACGCAGAGTGTCGACGTGGCCTTGCATCCGCATCATGCGTCCTGATTTTACGGGTTGACTGTAGTAGTCCAAAATCAGGAGGGAAAGAAACACACAGACACAAATCATCGTCGACTCCCCAGAAAATATGGAAACATGTGGGAAGTGGGGGGGAAGACAACCAAGGAAATATGGGAAACTATGGGGAATATGTTTATGTGTGTGTATTTTATTTGCGTGTCCTGGGGGCTCTATTCACAAAAGTGTGTTCAAGTCCACGCAGCAGCGCAGGTCCACCCGAGGAGCTGCAGATCAGTGCAAAAGGAGCCGCGCGGCGCGCGGCGCGCGCGGCGCGGCGACGCACGGCGGCGGCGACGGGCGGCGCCGGCCGACCCCCAGACGGCTGGACCGACGGGGGGGCTAGGGCGGACGGGCGGCGACGGGCGGCGACGGGCGGCCACGAGCTGGAATCCCTAAGGATTCCTAGGAATTCCTAAGGATTCCCAGGAATTCCTAAGGATTCCCAAGAATTCCTAATGATCCCTAGGAGTTGCTAAGGATCCCTACGAATTCCGAAGCATTCCTAGGAATTCCTAAGGGTTCTCAGGAATTCAGAAGGATTCCCAAGAATTCGTATGGATTCTGGTGAATTCCGAAGGAGTCCGCCACGGGCGACCACGAGGCGGCCAGAGCGACACAGGTTACCAGCCTCGAACGTATCCCTATCCCTAAGATTGACACGCCAAGAGCCGGTGGCAATCTCAGGGATTCGGCCTCGGAAAATAAGGGAATCCCTAAGATTGGCATCGTGATGAGGGGATGCCCAGCATAGGGATAGGGATGTGTTCCAGGCTGGTTAACAGGGCCCCGGCGGACAGCGGCGACGCCACAAGCCAGGCGGACTGATGCCAGAGCTCGGTCTCCATAGAAGCGAAGTAAGAGCCCGTGAGTGTAAGCACGGTGTGGGAAACATGCGGGGATCAATGGTTTCGATGTCGTCGCACCCCGTCGGGGGTGCTCTTGTGGCCCTCACGGGCTCTCTTGGAGGCATCTTGGGCAGTCCTGAAGCTACAATGCGCCGCGGTGGGGCCATCGGCCATCTTGGTTGCCTCGGCGGTCTGCCTGGGCCGTCCTGGATGCTCGGGACGCGGACACAGTTTTTGCAATGGGGGTCGTGTCTCCGTGAGTGCAGAACCATTGCTCTTGAGGCATCGCGGCCTCGGGAGCCGAGGGATGCCCGCGACAGTCTGCTGGTAGGTGGCGGCGATGTTCACTGGTAGAAGACAGAGACCCCACAGGGCAACGCCTGGCGTTGTCACACGCCGACGTCGCGCAGGCGCGGTGGCGGACCCCCCGGGAGGCGGTCTGGAGCGTTGGGGCCCCGTGTCGGATGCCTGGGTGGACGGCGGCGGCCACGGAAGGAGCGGCGGCGGCGACTCACCGCGACAGGGGTGGGACGGCGGCGACGACGGCGTCGGCGTGGTGGACGGCGACGCTGTGGACCGGACTGGACGACGACGGGGACGACGACGGCGACGACGGCGACGACGACGGCGACGACGACGACGACGGCGGTGACGACGACGACGACGATGACGACGACGACGACGACGACGACGACGACGACGACGGCGACGACGACGGCGACGACGGCGACGATGACGACGGCGACGACGGCGGCGGTGGCGGCGGGCGGCGGCGGCGGCGGCGGCGAGGTGACCGCGGCGGGTGGCCTCTACTCCGAGCGCGTGGAGCGGGCGCGGAGCACCTGGGCGAGGGGGCTGCCGGGGGTCCTCTTCGTGGCCGCCGAGGCGTCGGCCGGACGAGAGGAGGAGGAGGAGGAGGAGGACGAGGAGGAGGAGGACGAGGAGGACGAGGAGGAGAGCGAGGACAAGGAGGAGGAGGAGGAGGAGGAGGAGGAGGAGGAGAGCGAGGAGGAGGAGGAGGAGGAGGAGGAGAAGGACAAGGAGGAGGAGGAGGAGGAGGAAGACGAGGAGGAGAAGGAGGAGGAGAAGGAGGAGGAGGAGGAGGAGGGCAGGAACGCCGACGCGCGTTCCTGCTGGAACGCTCGTCGTCGTGGTGCCGCTGGCGTTCCTGCCAGGAACGCCCGAAAGGGGTACGGAAAGAATGGGTACAATGCCCAACTGCAGTTCCTGTTCATTCTGAACAGGACGACTCGCTGTCCGCGCCGCCGCAGCCTGTGATCATTTGAGACAGAAGGCCGCCTGCCCAACAGCGGCCGCTGTTGGTTCGGGACATTTGCTGTTGGGCATTGTACCAATTTTTTCCGTACCCATTTCGGGCGTCGAAATTAGAAGCCTTGCCGCGTCTTGAGAGGGCCTGCCTCCCCTTTCGGATAAAACCTCCTCCCCGGGCGCTCCTCGCCAAGGTTCGCCAGCCCCTCTTCTGGAATGCCCCTTTTCGATGAAGAAAAGAACGCCATAAACAGAAATTGTTGGCGCTGCGCAAGGGTTTCTTAGACCCGCGCTGGGCCCCCCAGCGGCGCCTCCGGCGCCGCCTCTGGCGCGCTCCGCGCGCCAGGGAAGGGCTCCAGCGCAGATCTAGGAAATCCGCGCGGAGCGCCAACATTTTCTGATTATGGCGTTTTTTCTTCTTCTGCAGTCGGGGCGTTGACGAAAGAACCCTTTTCGTCTGGGAGAGGCTCGGTGCTCCTGAGTTGTTTCACTGTTTGCCCTAGGTCTTCCTGGGGGCTCCCCTGGGACATCGAAGACGAACTTTCTGGAACAACGGGGCCCCTTTCCTTGCCTAGGGTTCCTCCGGTCAATGCCCTTGGCATCGCTCGGACGTGTGCATTTTCCCTTCGGCGGGGACCATCGAGGAGCATCCTTGATCAATTGACGACAAAACACGCACGCAACCAAACAAAAACACAAGGAATGGACGTCCGAGCGATGCCCAGTGCCTCGACTCTGCCCTCTGCTGTCCCCTCCCCCGCCCCTCCGCCCCGCGAGGCGAATGCGAGCCTCGGGGTGGAGCCCGTGGCGTGCGGGGACGACCACCTGAGGCACGGGGGGGCGCCGGCCGTGCACAACCCACACGACGGCTCCACGGAGCGGACGGGGTCCCGAGAGGACGTCGCGCGGTGGTGCCGCGTCGTCGCGGCCTCTCTTGGCACGGCGCGGCGCCTCCACGAGGGGGCCAGCGTCGATTTAGCGTCGATTAGCGTCACTTTAGCGTCGATTAGCGTCGGTTTAGCGTCGGTTTAGCGTCGATCAGCGTCGATAGGAAAGAGCCGACAGGATGGTACGGGAGGCTCCCGTGATTTACCTTCGAAGATGCGACCTAGCGTTGACTAGCGTCGGTTCGCAAGCGCCGACAAAATGGTACGGGAGGCTCCCATGATGTGCCACCGAAGATGCTGCGCGGTGCCGCGTCGTCGCGACCTTTCTTGGCCTGGCGGCGCCTCCACGAGGGGGAGGGGGCTGCGAGGGGGGGGGGGGCTTCTGGGAAGGATCGGGGGGGGGGGGGGGGGCGCCGCGAGTGTAGGGGCCGTCCCTGGCGAGGGCACGGGCAGGAGCGGCTGTAGAGGGCCCCTGCCTACAGTGGAAGCCCAGTGGAGTCCCATGGCGGCGGGGCTTCGATCGGAAGGCGCACGGCACGTCAGGAGCGGAAAGCCCCTCCGCCTTCGTAGGAGGCCAGTCCTGAGAGGGCCCCTGCCTACAGTGGAAGCCCAGTGGAGTCCCATGCCGAGAAGCACCCTGCTTGCGGGTTTCGTGGGCTTCGATGGTTTTGCCATGGAAGGCGTGACGCTCCCACACCAAGAATCAATGCACGTCCTGGGGTCTCGGGGCTGGGTCTCTTGTGGCAGGTTGCCTGTGGTCGAGCTCCTACTGTACTCGAAAGCCCCTCCGCCTTCGTAGGAGGCCAGTCCTGATCGGCTTCACTGATTGGCTTCGCTGATCGGCTCTGGCCAGCTGTCGGCGGTGCTGGCCGCCGTGGGCGGCCTCGCGCCAGGCGGCAGCGCACCAGCCATCCTGGGCCCGGGGCCCCTCCCGGCCACTCCACTGCAGGCCACTCCAGGCTTCTTGTGGGCTGGCCTCCGCCGTACTTCGTGCCCACCCCCCCCCGTGCCCCCCCCCCCGCGAGCGATCCTCGCCGCCCCGCCTCTCTCGGGCCACCGGCCGGCGGCCAATCGTGGGAGGGCCTCCGGGGGCCCCGCGGAGCACGCCCCCGGCCTGGGGCCACTCCAGGGCGCAAGTCCGACCCAGAGTTCCGTCGGACAGATGATGTGCAGTCGTTGCGTTTTCTCAGATGTCGGTCTCTGTGGGAGTTTTTTGAGCCCTTGGGCCATCATGCATTCTAGACCTCCTAACTGGGGTCGGAGTAGATGGGGTCGGAGGACTTCGCCGCATCGCCGATGCAACGCCGATGCAGCTCGATGTGGAGCCCGAGTTGCTTCACGTCGACGTGGCCGTCGCATCGCCGACTATGCATCGCCGATGCATCGCCGATGTATCGGCATTGCGGCGCGATCCTCCGACCCCATCTCTTCCGAACCCATCTAGGAGGCTTCTACAAATGGATCCAGCCGTGCTGCCTTGGGTCAGATGGCGCCATCAATGTACGACCGGTTCTTAGCCTGCGCCACGTGCAGGGCACAAGGCCGACCCGGAGCTCAGTCTTGGCGTTTCTCCTTCAATCTTGGCCTATGGGCTATCACTGTTTCAGTTTTTGGTTTCGAGCTACAGGGTTATCAAGCATGGATGCGTGGATCTGGGATGACAAGTTGCCCCCTTGGGAAGGGGTCGAGACATCTGTGGTCCAGGCCACTCCCAGGTGTTTGACCACTCGAGTCCAGCATGCGTCTTCGGGTATTCAACGGAATGTGGGTACTCGCGCCCTCCTGGCTTGGCTAAAAGGACGCGTACACCGATCTTGGGCCCGAGCATGGACCACGGGCCTTGCCGCGGTCTGCATTACGCCGGCCCCTATCAGCCGAAAAGGTTTGTGACCGAACCATGATATGTGATCGAAGACGTACTCGAAGTTGTGGCCGAACACGTAATGTGATAGTGTGTCTGAGTTTGCAATTCGCGTCGGCTTCGAATCTGCAACATCTCTCACACTCGGACGCGTTAGGATAGCATCCGGCGCTGGTTTCGGTCCTAATCGGGCGGATGCTCCAGCAGGGTTTCGATCATTACACCCACCTTATATCAGTGAGGATAGAAGAACCCCCGACCCTAACAACACGATGAAGACGTAGCCTCACTGAGGTCCCCGTCTTCGCATTAGGAATAATAAATTTGGGCGGTTTGGTTTAATACACCTGCAAAAAGACCCCCGATTCTTAATGGTCCTCGCCCTCCTAACTCAGGCCCCCGCCCAAAGGGTTCGGGGTCTTTTTTTGGTTACTCATCATAGAGACGAGGTTGCTTGCATAGCTGGTAGACCTCTCAACAGGGGCATGTGCTGCAAGACGGTCGCGGCCATCCGGATGGCCCTCGAGCGGTTCCCGTCGGCCCGGTGGCTCGTCCGCGCAGTGGACGACACGTTCGTGTTCGTGCGGAACCTCGAGAGGCCAAGGGAGCGGAGAAAACGACGCCCGCACCACCAGCGAGGATGAGTCTCATTTGGACGCCCGAAATGGGCACGGAGAAGCTGGGTACGCTGCCCAACAACAGCTATCACACAGCAGCAACATCAGCAACAACAATAACACCAACAACAGTAGCAGCAGCAGCATCAACAACAACAGCAACAGGGCACGTTGTCCAACACCGACAGAGGCCGCTGTTGTGCAGGCGGCTTTGCGTCTTCAAAGAGCAACGCCCGCTGCGGCGTTGACAGCGAGTCCTGTGCAAAATGAGCAGGAACTGCTGTTGGGCATCGTACCCATTTGTTCCGTATCGATTTCGATCGTCCCGATCTCTGGCGAGGAGGTCCAAAGTCCACGATACCTGCCCGAGCCACGGATTTCGCAGATGCATCGGGCAAGACAGCGGCACCACACTACCATTAAGGCGGGCATGTCCCTCTACAGTTGACTATCCTTGAATACGTTTTGATCGATTTCCCGTGTCGTCCAAACTCCGCTTCCAGGAGGACATGCCCGACCTACCGCCACCACGAGAACCTTCGGGAGGCTTTGGGGCGGGGACGCGTGGAAGTCAGGATGGCGCCAGCGGCGCTCCAAGCGGCCCCGGGAGGGCGCTCGGAAGCTCGGTGGCCTCAAGAGGCGCTGCCCTTGCTCGTCCCCTGTGGCCGCGCCGCGCCGCGGCGCCCGACGGGCAGAGAGCGCACCCTGAGATTCGACACGACTTACAACGTGCAGCGCCGTGGAGATTTGTTTAAAATCCTCTGGGGCGTAACGGTCGTTGCCCGGGCTCCCCCCCCCTCCTCCTCCTCCTCCTCCTCCTCTTCCTCCTCCTCCTCCTCCTCCTCTTCCTCATCCTCCTCCTCCTCCTCCTCCTCCTCCTCCTCCTCCCCAGGTAACGGTAACAGTCGTGCGTGGGGGGGGAGTTTGGACCCGCTCTTCAGATGCTGGTACTCGCGCGCATGCGATGGCAGTCGTGCCTTTACCCGCCCCCCCTTTCCACGGGTACCGACCCTTACCAGAAATAGTCAAATGTTGGTTAGCGTGGAGCCCCCCCCCCAATTTTGTTCTCAGCAAAAATAAATGTGGTAATACATATATATATACAGATATACACACATACATATTCATGTGTATATTTGTACGTGCGGAGCAACCTGTGTGGTTCTATCTATTTGGCGCATCTATATTGTGTAATATAAGTGGCGCGCTCTATAGTGTGCAGTATATTTGGTGCAGTATATGTGTTGCCATCTATGGTGTGCAAGTTATGTGGAATGATCTGTGTGGTGCACTTGATTGTAACAAAAACGAGTTGACACATCCCGTGCTCTTGCAAACATCCCTCCCACCCACCCGCAAGTTGGTTTGCAAAACCCATAAGGTGGCGATCGCGATGTATGCTCGGCGTTGGCTGGTGCGTCTCTGCGGCCGCGCCAACCCAAACACGCGCGCGCAACGGCCAGCTGGTTTGGCGCGACCGACGCGGCCGCGGTGGCGCTGCAGCGGGCACTGCATTGCGAGTCTTCGACTTGGGCGGGCGCGGTATCATGGCAACGTCGACAACGGTAGACGTTTCGGGCGAGTGTCCAACGACTTCGACGACAACGACAATGACGACGACGACAACACCGACGACGACGACGACGCCGACGCTGACGACGACGATGACAACGCCGACGACGACGACGACTCCGACGACGACGACGACGACAAGGACGGCGACGACGACGACGGCGACGGCGACGACGGCGACGACGGCGACGGCGACGACGACGACGACAACGACGTCGCCAACGAAGGCGACGACGACGAGGGAGGAGGGAGGACGACGACGGCGACGACGACAAGGACGAGGGAGGAGGGGAGACGACGACGACGATGACGGCGACGAAGCAGGAGGGACAACGACGAAACGCCCACGAAGACGACGAGGGAGGAAGGACGACCACGGGGACAACGACGACGGAAACGACGACGACGCCAAGACGACGACGACGACCAGGAAAGACAGAGGACGACGACGGCGACGACGAAGACGAGGGAGGAGTGAGGACGGCGACGACGACGACGACGACGCAAGAGCGCGCGCGCATGCTTTTGTTGAAAATCCGTGTTGCGGAACCTTGTGTTTTTGTATGTTTTTTGGGCACACGATTTTGACATCCTTCCGAAACCGACGTTTTTTTTTGGATTTCGGCATGCGCGCGCGACGACGCGCGCCTCTGCTTTTCGTCCCGTTTGTTGCGGCAGATTCTCGCGACGGCACGCGCGCAAGGGCGTTGAAAAGATTTCGACATGCGCGCGCGCGAAGCCTGTTAGGTAGTATGTTTTGATCATTTTGAAAAGCCCATAGTCTCCGTAAGATTTCGCAAGGGCGCGCGCGCATAAGTTTTTTTAGAACAACAGCGCTGCGAAACCCAATGTATGTTGAATGTGTTTTGAAAGCGCGTTTATATATATATATATATATAATCCTCCGGCACCATATTTTTTTGAAGGACTTCGGTATGCGCGCGCGACAACGCGCGCGTTTGCACTTCGTCCCATGTGTTGCAAATTATTCTTGGAAATTCTATAGTTGTGGTAAACGAGTGCGCGCGCATTGTAGTTACTTGCAGAGGATGGCGGGCGGAGTGATACGGGCCTGGCTGGGATAGTATGAATTGAAATTTGCGACGGAGGATGGGGCATAATCACTCGCAAATTATAGCACGAAAGCGTGACCCGTTAACTCTGGGGGGGTCGCGTTTTTGTTTTAGACAGGATAGTCGAGGTCCCGTAGCGATTCTGGCTCCAGGCTCAAGCGATCGCACGGATGTGTGTGTGTTGGGGCCGTGACATGCCCAGATTTCATAGACCTTTAGTTGTCTGTCAACATGCCCCATGGAAGCTTGTTCCCCCTGTCGTCTGCGCCCGCGCGTCGGGCCATGATGCGCAGACCCCCTTCTCCTCTTTCCCTTCCTTTTTCTTCGGCATACCAGATTTTAGTTCGCCTTTGAAGGGGGCAGGCCATGCATACACCAGACCCGTCGGCTTCCAGAGATTCAAGACTTACCATCGTCAGCAGTTATCCTCATCTGGCCTTCGTTTCGCTTCTTCCTCTCTCCGCGACCAATTGCGATCCCTACTCCTGCGGGTCCAGTCGACGCTGCGGTATCGCACATCGCCGCTGCGCTTCACTTGGCGGCAGGAGGTCGTCGGGCTTTCTGGGCCCATGCCACCGTGTCAGAGCTCCGCCATGCAGGGGGGTCCATCACGTCATTGTCCTTTCGCCGCTGTACAGGGAGCTCGAGGCGTACAACCCGGCCGCCCTGCTCTACCTCGGCGCCGCCTCCGTGTCGCTGCTGTGCCACTTCCGCCTGCACGCCGCCTCCTGCGCCGAGGCGCATGCCGGCGGCGGCGCGGGAGTGGTGCTGAGTTCGGGTCGGACGCGAGGGGCGGGGGGAAAAACACACAGACACAATTATCGTCGATTCCCCAGAAAATATAAGAAAATATGGGAAGTGGGGGGGAAGACAAACATTCCAGAACATATAGGAACATATGGTGAATTGTTTTATTTGTGTGTATTTATTTGTGTGTCCTGGGGCCCCTTCAGCGAGGGGCGGGGGGGAGAAACTCAGGGAAACGCCAGATGGGCATGAGCTCGGGGTTTTCCAGCCTCGGGGGGCGCTCCAGGCTGCTGCGCCTCGCCGAGGCCGCCGGGGGGGGGGGGGGGGGGGGGGGGGGGGGGGGGGGGGGGGGCGAGATCGCCCCGAAAGGCAGCAAAGAGAGTCGAGGTATGGCCTGGAAGCCACACGGGCAGCGCTCGGGGGGCAGGCATAGGCAGGGATGTGTCGACCCCAAATCGCGCACTGATCGCCGACAAGGGGCTAATAGCCCACCCCGCGCAGGAGCTTGCGGTTTCGCCATCGAGGGCCTATCGCCGCCTAATTTGTCGATCTATCTATCTATCTATCTATATATATATCTATCTATCTATCTATCTATCGATCTATCTATCTATCTATCTATCTATCTATATACATATACATCTATAGATCTATATATCTATATACCTTGTTTGTCTAGCTATAAATCCATCTATATATATACCTATCTATCTATATATCTATATATCTATATATATGTAGATATATATATTTATATCTATATATATATATATATCTATATGTCTTTATTTATATATATATATATATATCTATATCTATATATATATCTACCTGCCTACCTACCTACCTATATATATATCAATATATTTAGCTATTTTTATATATATGCATATATATATATATGTATCTATATATCTATATATATATATGTATATCAATATATCTATCTATATATCGATATATATATATATCTAAATGTCTATATATTTATCTACGTATCTATCTATCTATCTATCTATCTATATATATCTATCTATCTATCTATATATATATATATATATATCTATCTATCTATCTATCTATCTATCTATCTATCGATCTATATATCTATCTATCTATCTATCTATCTATCTATCTATCTATCTATCTATATCTATCTATCTATCTATCTATCTATCTATCTATCTATCTATCTATCTATCTATCTACATAACATGTTTTTCAGCCTCGGAAAGCTCTCCCAAAGCTGCGCCTCGCCGAGAGCGTTTCCGTGGTGCCCGGATCGTCCCGTCAGGCCGCCAGGGACCCGAGTTACGATCCAAAGGCCAGGCGACAAGGCTCATTTGGGGGTCGGATGGGGCCATCACGAGGATAAATCTGTTCCAGAGCGTTCTGGAACGCTCTCAGAGCGTTCCGGAACGGTCTGAGAAGGCAGCGGCGCCCGCGACATCCTCGATAGCCGCCGGATATCCGAGATGTTCGATTTATCCTCACCCGAGTTTATCATCGTCCTGGCTTCGTCTTAGGGGGGGGGATAGGGAAAGAGTGGGTCGTGCAATGGGTGGCACAAGCTGGTTTCGGCTTCGCCGCCGGGCGCTGTCCTCGATAGATCATGGGCGCCTCCAGGCGCCGAGGGGCGCCAGAAAAACCAGCGGCCTTGACCAAGGGCGCCCTCGAGGGCGCGAAGGTATCCGCGCTTCGGCTCCGATTCCTCCTTCCCTGGGGGGGCGCGAGAGCGCGAAGTCATCCGCGCTTCGCGAAGAGCGAGGCGCGAAGCGCGAAGCTGGGCGCCCTTGTGAACATCCGCGGGTCTGATTTGCATCCGCCGGTATCCGCGGCCCCGCAGAGGTCCCGACCGCTCCGCCAGGCCGGGGCGGGGTCGCTTCCCGGGTGGCGTTTCGGAGGGCCCCCGAGGTCCGAGGAGGGGCCCCCGAGGTCCGGAGGGAAGGACGAGCCGCCAGTCGACCGAAGTCCTGTCGCCGGATGTCTGGGTGCGTGAGCTGAGTCAGTACCCCCTTCTGCCATCGCTCGGACGTGTGCATTTTTTTCGCGGCGAGGACCATCGAGGAGCATCCTTGATCATTTGGCGAAAAAGGCACGCACGAAACCGAAAAAAAACACAGGAAATGGACGTCCGAGCGATGGCGAGCCCCCCCCCTTTGTAGACTACAGTGGAGGCCCATGGCAAGAAGCACCCTGCCTGCCCCTTTTGTACAGTGAGCGGCTTGAGTAAGGAACACTTACTTTTCGAAAGGGGCTCGGTCGTTCCTTGAGGCTTGCATGCGTTGCGTATCCTTCCTTATGCGTTTTTTGTCATTACGTATCGTTCCTTATATGCTTTTTTCCTCGGAAAACAGAGGCTTCGTTCCTCATGTATCGTTCCTTAGGTCAGGCCGATGACTGTACTACAGTGGAGGCCCATGGCAAGAAGCACCCTGCCTGCCTCCATGGTGCCCCAGCTTTCTCCCGGGCTTCGGGGGCTCTGCTGTGGGAGGCGTGGCGTGCCCGCACCGAAAATCCACGGACGTACTGGGGTCTGAGGGTCGGTCAGGAGGGGAACAAAAACACACAGACACAATGAGTCGTCGATTCCCCAGAAAATATGGGAAAGTATGAGAAGTGGGGGGGAAGACGAAAACTTAAAAAATTGAAAATATGGGATATGTTCATTTGTGTGTATTTATTTGTGTTTCCTGGGGCCCCTTTAGTCGGGTTTCCCGTGAGCTGGCCTCCACTGCAAGAACCCCCCTCTCTCGTCCGACCCGACGAGCCGTCCGCTGGCCGAGCTGCTGGTGCGCCAGAGGGGAGGTCGAGACAACGGAGGCGCTGTGATCGTTTTCTCAGTCCTCGTTTGGCCGCTCGGGGCGGGCCCTCCCCCCCATGCAGTTCGGGGTCGGCACAGAGGGAGGTGGTGACTAGGGGGGGGGGATGGATCATGGCGTGGGCCGTGCTATTTCCTCATATTGCGAAGGCCCTGCGGCCAGTGCCGCCGACCCTGAGGTTGGGGAGGAGGCCGCGGAGCTTGGGGAGAAAAATGAGGAGGGGGACAGGAGGAACAGGTGGATGAGGAGGAGTAGGGGCACAGGGGGGGAATGAATAGGAGGAGAGTGAGGCGAGCAGGGTCACGGGGGGGCACGAAGGAAGGGCAGGGGCGAGTAGAACGTGTCGATCATGAGGAGAAGGAGGGAGATAATGGCGAGGATGTTGACGATGTTGACGACGACGCCGGTTGCCCATACCATTCGGGGCGTCTTGGAGCCCTCCTGGGGCGACTTATAGGCTGCGTTCGCTGTTTTGAAGGTAGGTTCCGCATCTTGGGCATTTGGGAAGCCATGGAGGTGTAGTTAGATTTGGAGGCCGCCGGGACCTGGGCCAGGGCCGGGGCCAGAGCGGGCCGGGGCAGGGGCCAGGGCCGGTGCCGGGCCGGGGCCGGCCGGGGCTGGGGCCACGGCCGAGGCCGGGATTGGGTCCGGGGCTGCGGGCCGGCGGGGCGGGAGCCAGGGCCGGGCGGGTCGGGGGCCAGGGCGGGGGCCGGGGCTGCAGTTCGGGCCGGGGCCGGGGCCGGCCGAGGCCGACCCAGAGGACCTGCAGGTCCTCGCTGAAATCCGGCGCTCCATGGAGCGCCGGATTTCAGCATCCCGCATTTGGCGTGGAACGCAGATCCTCCGACATGGAACGCTGAATCGACCATGGAACGCAGATCCGACAAGACGCCGCTGAGCGGTTTTCCAACATGGAGCGCAAAGTTTTAACGTGGAACTCAGGATCAACCATGGAGCGCAAGATTTGCTGTGACGCCGGATCGGATTCCCATGTTTAGCAAAGAGGTCTGGAGCAGAGCGCAGAACATCTAGAGCGCCGAATTACGGAGCGCCGTTTCGACCACGCGTTTTCTGGCGCCTTTGCAAGCGCAACACGCGTGTAATCAGGAGGCGGGTTGGCGATTTTCGGGTCCGGCTATTCAAGTAAAGCGTGTTGTACGATGGTGGTCAGACATGCAAGGGTGGCGACCATGAGATTATGAGGTGCCCGTCTTCGACGCTAGCATCTGTTCAAGGACTCGTGGATGTCAATGTGAAACATCATGCGAGCATTCGAGAAATATTTGCGGCTTGTGATATGTATAAGATTTGCGTGACCCTGTGGCGCCGTCGGGATCACTCGGGCAAGTCGGCCTCGGGGGTGGGGTATGTCATGATGTTTGGGGGGTTACGACCATACGAAACTGCCCGTGGGATGCGCGTCAGACGTTTGAAGATTGCGGGAACTACGGGACTTGTTGGGCTACCTGCGTGCCAATGGAACTCGCGCGACCTGCGCAATGGGAATGCCATTCCATGGCGTTCGCGCAACCAACGGGGCCTGTGAGGCCTTGCGAAGTCTACGGGGTCAGTGTGCGATGATTTCCCAAAGTGCCGCTTGTGGCGCACGTACCCCGCTGAACGCGTCAATTTGTGGCGCTGTGGGAGGCGTGACCTGCGCCATTGTGGCGCATTTGAAATTGCATTATGTTCACAACGCGTGGTCATCGGCAGCCTGCGCGCGTGTGTGTGCGTGTGTGTGCGTGTGTGTGTGTGTGTGTTTGTGTGTGTGTCTGTGTCTGTGCCTGTGCCTGTGTCTGTGTCTGTGTCTGTGTCTGTGTCTGTGTTTGTGCGTGCGTGCGTGTGTGTGTGTGTGTGTGTGTGTGTGTGCGAGTGTGTGTGAGTGTGTGAGTGTGTGAGTCTGCGAGTGTGTGTGTGTGTGAAAGAGTGTGTGTGTGCGAGAGAGTGTGTGTGAGTGTGTGTGTGTGTGCGCGTGTGTGTGCGTGTGTGCGTGTGTGTGTGTCTGTGTGTCTGTGTGTCTGTGTGTCTGTGTGTGTGTTGTGTGTGTGTTGTGTTGTGTTGTGTTGTGTTGTGTTGTGTTGTGTTGTGTTGTTGTGTTGTGTTGTGTTGTGTTGTGTTGTGTTGTGGTGTGTGAGTGTGAGTGTGAGTGTGAGTGTGAGTGTGAGTGTGAGTGTGAGTGTGAGTGTGTGTGTGTGTGTGTGTGTGTGTGTGTGTGTGTGTGTGTGTGTGTGTTAGGCTCCTCTGAAGCGCCGCCAGCCCGCCTCAACGACGAACTGGCGACACTCGGATGGGATCAGCACGAGTCCGCACGAACAGGGTGTGTGTGTGTGTGTTTTGGAGGGGGGCTTTAACCAAGGAGAGCGAAGGCGAACCGAACAACAACAAAAAACAATCCATTGGGAGGAAACGCGCGCCGGTGACACGTCGAAGGTGCCTGGGCACCCTGGCTTAACCAAAATCCAGGGATAAGCTGGCACTTGCCTCCGAGCCTGCCAAGCCAAAGTTTATGGCGCCCTAGCTTTGTTACCCTCTCCACGCCTCAGCCAAATCCCAGGGCGCCCTGTACCTTCTCAACACCCGCTAAGCCGAAACCCACAGCCCCTGGGCTTTGCAACGCGCCCGCTTGGCGACAGCCCAGCGCCCGCTGGAAAAACGCCGAAGGCGCCTCGACCTTTCACCGCGCACGCTAGGCCAATGTCCAAGGCGCCCTGGGCGTTTCCCTTCGCCCGCCAAGCCGAAACGCAGGGCGACATCACCTCCTCCCATCCACGTTTCGTGGCTTCAGGCCCCTCCGGCCGCGTTCGCATGCGGCCCAACGCCCACCGCATGCGCGCTTCGGCGCGCCCGTCTCACGTTTCCTGGCCCCACATCGGGTTTCCACCGAGAGCCCCACGTGGCCGCGTTCGCACGCATGCCCATGTCGGCCACCCCTCACACGCTTCGTGGCCCCGCGGGGAAACTCCACCGAGTGCCCCCCAGTGGCCGCGATCGCATGCGGCCCCGCGCCCGCCGCATGCCCATTTCGGGGCGCCGCTCACGCGCCTCGTGGCCTTTCATGGTCTTGGGTTTCAGCGCGAATCCCTTTCCAACGTCGATTTCGGCACACAACTCAGGCGTTTCGTGGCCCATTGGGAGCTCCACCCAAGGCCCCAATGGCACCACCCGCGTGCGTCCCCCGCGCCGATTTCGGCACACCCCTCGCACGCTTCGTAGCCCAATAGGGAGCTCCGCCCCAGGGCGTCTTTACTTTCAGTAAGAAGAGTCGCGCAGCTCCGAACATAGAACGCACATCCTACCATGGAGCGCAGATCCGACCATGGAGCGCAGATCCTACAACATGGGCCGCGCATCCAACCTTGGAGCGCAGAACCGACGTTTGACATGGAACGCTGAAAATCGGCGCTCCCGGTCCTCCGGGTCGACGCCGATGCCGGGGCCGGTAGCGGAGCCGGGGTTGGGGGTGGACTGGGACTGGGGCCGGGGCTGGGGCGTGGTGGAATGCCTCGGCTTAGCTGGCCCGTCCTAAGGCTTTGTGTGGGCCCCGGGGCCGTCGTGTCTGATGCGGGATTCCCCCCGGGACCCCCCCCCCGGCAGGGGAGGATCAAAGGGAAAGGGCTTCCCGTTCGATTCAATGACAACGTTGCTCTTGAGGGGCCCAGGAGGCCCTGGAAAAGCGGGGGGGGGCTGCGACAGCCCCAGGGAAGAAGGGGAAAAAGGGGGGAGGGGAGACGGGCCCAGGGAAAAGAGGAGCGCAGGGACGGGAGACGAATGGGCCAGGGAAGGGGGGCGCAAGGACAGGGGACGACGGAAACGACGAACGAACGACGGGAATGCACAAGGCCCTCACACACGCCGACGCAGCGTCTGCGGATTTCATGTCATGGCGCCTCCTCTTATTGTGAATCGCCTTACGGCCGGTGCCGCCGACCCTGAAGGTTTTGGCCGTCGATGGCGACAGGATGTGTGATCACAGGAAGGAGCTAAAAGACAACGTGACAGGGTAGGCGGAGGAAGTGTGTGAGGAGGAGGAGGAGGAGGAGGAGGAGGAGGAGGAGGAGGAGGAGGACACAAACGAAAAGGATATGGAGAGGGTGGCAAAAGACGCTCAGGGGGAGGAGGAGGAGGGAGGTGGTATTCTGACCCGGGACCCCCCCCCCGCCGGGGAAGGGAACAAAGGGAAGGGGAAACCCTTCCAGTCAATTTACTTTACGCAGGAGGAAGGGATGAAGGAGGAGGGGGAGGGAAATGAGGAGGAGGAGGAGGAGGAGGAGGAGGAGGAGGAGGGGGAGACGAACGAGAAGGAGACGGAGAAGTTGGGAAAGGGAAGGACGCACGGACGAGAAGAACAACCCATTCGACACGCCGACAGGTTCGGCGGATTTCATGACGTCCGTGGCCCCCCCTGGGCCGCATGTGCCGCCGGCCATGATTTGCGCCCCCCCCTTTTGGACGCCCCCCCTTTTGGCCGCCCCCCATGGAGTAGATTTTGGCTGTATTTGGTGTCTGTTTCAGGCAGGTGGGGTCTCCCCCAGAAGACGCACTGCTGCAAGCAATGGCAGGAAGCAGAGGTCCAGAGCCATACCCCCCCCCCCTTCCTTCCGCCCAAAGCCGGCACGCCGAAAATGAAGACGTTCGCTTTCCCCAGCGTCTCTCGTGTTGCACCCCGGAGTCTTATCGTCGCCATGGCCGGGCCCGCCTCGGGAAAGGGGTCGGGGTCGACGCCTCGAGCCATTTTGTTTCACTGGCGTCCTTCATGGGACACATCCTGGCGTCCTTCACCGGCATCCTCACAGCGATGTATTTCACTGGCGTCCTTCACGCCTCGTGCTCGGGTTTTTTTCCGGCGTCCTTCAGGGGACACTTTTCCGAGGCGGGGATGAATCAGTAACCGCCGCCCGTGAATCCTCCACGGGCGGTGGATGTGTTGGTGACCACACGTGAACCCTACCCCCGCCCTCCACGATTTCAAAGGGGGGGTGGGGCTTCATTTCGTTCGGGAGGTCCCGAGCGGAGTGAACCCCCACCCTCTCTTATCCAAAATAGTCGAGAAATAGTCAGGGGACGAGTTTTCTAGCATGTTTGACCACTAGGGAGTATTTAACTATTATTTTGAAAAGAATTTCCCCTCGAAAAGCTGCCTGTAGGAGGACCTGCACGACTTGTGGGGTCCAAAACCTGGATAGCAGGGCGCTAGAAGGGCGTGGAAAGGCCTGTCGAAGAGCTCTAGAAGGACCTGGAGAGAGCTTCCGAAGGACCTTCTGGAGAGCTTCGAGGCAAGCGTATTGGGAAACGCTCAGAAAAAAAAAGGCCTGTCGGAACACGCTGCAGGGTCAAGCAAGGCGCAGCGGCGCTGGAAAATAGGGGCCGGAACGACCTCTCCGGGCCTACCTTGTGAAGCCCTCTTGTAGCTCTCTGCGAGCTATCCGGGAGCCTTCGGGTAGACCCCGCGGGTGGGATCCGGGGGCCAGCTCTTGGGGGGCTGCCGTGGTCTCTCGACGCGTGCCCGCCGCCGAGAGAGGTGCGTCACGCCCGGGCGTTCCTGGCGAACTGCTCGCACGACGACGTCCACCTCGGGCACTTCCTGAGGCTCGGTGGAGGGAAGTCGGGGCGATCTGGGGGGTCACATGCGGACCCTCCTGTCGGGCCGGACGAAAGGGGGGGATTGGGAAAGGGGGGGTACGAAATTTGCTGCATGCAGCTGGTTTCGGCCCCACCGAGGGGCGCATTCCTCGATACATAGCCGCCTCCGGCGCCAGGAGGCGCCGGGAAAATCAGCTACGTGAGCTGATTTTCAGCCCCCCCCTTTGCTATCCCCCCCCTTTCGCCCGACCCGATCCTACCCCTGCCCCCCACGATTTCCGAGGAATCGTGTCGGGTCCGCATGCGGCCCCCTGATCGGGGCGATCGGAGTGAGTACGGAAGGGATGGGGACGATGCCAAACAGCAGCTCCTGCTCATCTTCAGCAGGACTCGCTGTTCGCGCCGCCGCGGACGTTGTACTTTGAAGACAGAAAACCGCCTGCCCAACGGCGGCCGCTGTCGGTTTTGGACAACATGTGTTGTTGGGCATTGTATCAATTTTTTCCGTACCCATTCCGGGCGTCCAAGGAAAAGATACCGACACAGTCGGACCGAGGCATCAAAGCGAGGTCGCTTCGGGGAGGGTATGCCCTCGTGTTCTTCGTGCTCGTTGGATGTTTTTGTGCATCCTGGGGGTGGGTGCCCTCAGATCTCAGATCTCAGATCTGGACGCTGCATTTTTTTCACAACAGGCGTTCTCGCCCAGTTTCGGGCTCCGGGGACCCTCACATATCGATCTGGCTCGAAAAATCATGTAAAAGCCGGGGTTTGGGGTTCCGGCCGTGATTTCTTGCGATGTTGCAATGTTTTTGCAACGTCGGATCCCAGGGTAGACGGGGCCGGAGGGTCGCGCAGCATCGCCGATTCATCTCCGATGCGGCTCGATGCGGGGCACGCTTTGCCGACGTCGCCGACCCCATCTATCAGGAGGGAAATAAAAAAACACAGACACAGTTAATTGTCGATTCCCAAGAAAATATGGGAAGTGGGGGGGAAGACAGAATCCCAGAACATATGGGCAAATATGGGGAATGCTTTTATTTGTCTGTATTTATATGTGTGTCCCAGGGCCCCTTCAATCTACGCGGATCCCACGTGGGAGGCCCCTCGTGCGGCTCGGGTCTGCCGGACCTCGGGCTCCCCGCCGCTGTTTGGCGGTCCCAGCAGAAGTGTCGAGTGTCCGCGCCTCGTGAGATGCCTGTGGCAGGAGCTCGCGTCAAGTTGCAGGCCCCGTCGGGCAAGTTCGAGTCCTCCCAATTCTGATGTTTCGAGTCTCCGAATGGGTCGAGCGCTTCTGGGGGGGATCCGCATTCGCTGTCGATTCGGTCGGGCGTCGGCGTCTCTGTCGCCGTGGACGCACGCGTCGCCTGAGCGACGCAGAAAAGCTGGTTCCAGTGCGCGGACACTAGCGTGAGGTCGCGCACAAGCACCCTCGTTGCCAGACTAGCATTCCGTGCTGGCGGCCCGCGTAAGCCACCGCCGCGCAAGGCCAGTCTTTAATCTCGCGTAAGGCCCGCTTCTGTGCGTCGCTCGCCTGAGCTCCCTCCCTCCAGTGCCATCCCCGTGCCCAAGGCGCTGCCCAGAGGAGCGGGCAGAGCTCATGCTCGCGCGCCTCTGTTGAGCGTGTCGGGGCGGCGGCCCCTGCGACGGGCCCTCCACCCCCCCCGTGAGGGGCCCGTTCTCCACCACCACCACCACCACCACCACCACCACCACCACCACCACCGTAACTCGGAGGGGGGGGGAGGAGCCGGAGGACGAGGAGGAGGAGGACGAGGAGGAGGAGGAGGAGGAAGAGGAGGAGGAGGAGGAGGAGGAGGAGGAGGAGGAGGAGGAGGACCCCCTCCACAAGGAGGAGGAGCCCCTCCCCCTCCAGCTTCCTGGTGGTGGTGGTGGAGAGCAGGCCCACCGCCCCGACCGCCGCCTGCTCTGCGGGCACCTCCGCGGGGGCCCGTGCTCTGGGCATCTCCGCGCGGGCCCCCCAGGCCTCCTGCCCCGACACGTCGATGAAGGAATTGGCCGTCTTCGGTTCGCGAGGGGGCGTCGCGGCCGTCATTTTCGTGCGGGTCCGGGTCCGTCGGTTTCGGCCACAGGCCGTTTTCGCGAAGGGGAGGGTGTGCTGAATGGAGGTTTACGGAAGGGAGGTTTGTCCCCCCCCGCCCTCACAGGGCTCACGTCGACGCCTCCGGCTCGACTCGATCCCGATGGAGTCCGATCCGATCTCGGTGTTTGGTCTGGGCCTCGGTGCCTCCACGGAGGCCTTACCGGCCTGCCGGTGTCTGCCGGCTCGGCTTCTCCCCGACTTGGCCGCCGATGTCCGCCGATCCGATTCAGGTTCGACCGCCGACACGACGTCTCGATTCGACTCCGGGCTCATCCTGCCTCGTGTGGACGCCCGAAATGGGTACGGAAAGAATGGGTACAATGCCCAACATAAGTTCCTGTTCATTTTGAGCAGGACTCGCTGTCGGCAACGCCGCGGCCTGTGTACATTTGGCCTTTTGTCCCAAACCAACAGCGGCCTGCCCAACAGCGGCCGCTGTTGGTTTGGGACAACATTTGCTTTTGGGCATCGTACCCATTTGTTCGGTACCCATGTCGGGCGTCCAAAGCGAAGAAGAGGCAGCCATAACCGCCGAGGATGAGGAAACACCGCCCCTGGCGCCGCACCTCACCACCCACACTCCCAGTGGGGGGGCGTCGGGGAGCATTGGGAACAACACGTGTGGAACCCGTACCGCCCCAACCCGAAGTTTGGGTCTGGAGGGTGAGGTTGGGGGGGGGGGGAAGGAGGAGTAGGGGGACGAGGAGGAGGAGGAGGAGGAGGGGGAGGAGGAGGAGGAGCAGGGTGAGGTTGGGGTGGTCTGGGGGGCAGTCAGCCCCATGGCCGACCACGGCCGCAGCGGTGAGGACTGGGGCGCGGCATCTTCAGAAGAGCGGGCGCCGTCTTCACCGCTGGGGGGGGGCGGGGGCTTCCCTGGCAAGGCGCAATGCCCAGACCCCCGGCGACTACATAATTGATTTACCCCAAGACTGATGTTTCGTCGAATTTGCGACAAGAATAAATACAATGTCTTGTAGCTGTACGAATCTTCTATGGTTCTGAAGATTCTACGGAAAAAAAACATTTGAGGGGTAAATCAATTCTATAACCGATCCCCATACTCGAACAACGTCGACCTCCAGAGGTCTCGACCCATTTCCTGGGACTGGATCCTCATCTCGCGTCGATTTTGTGGACGGTTCCAGGGCCTGTCGAGGGCCCCCCAGGGATGATAAATAGCAAAAGCGATTTCTTGCCTTGATTGTGTCATGACCCGAGGGGGTTGGGGTGTACGGTGTCCTCATCCTCAGCGGCTGTGGTGTCTCGGCATCACCCAAGTATCCTAAAATTTTGTGTACGTCTGCACCGCAGGGGGGACGTCCGCGCTGAGAAGTCTTAGTACATGCTCGGAGGCGGACGCTTTCTGGTCGCACTGCCCGGCTAACGATATAGAATAGGATGTTAGTGTTACATGTTCGATTTGGGCTTGCGCCTCCAAGGGGGTCGTAGATCGAAGAACAAGCATCGCCAATAAACATGCAATGTTTGAGCTTCACAGAGGTTCCTTGGACCTTCGCTGGACCCCCCCTCCCTGGCGCGCGACGCTCGCTGGGGGCGGTGCCCGAGGCGAGGCCGGGGGTCCCCAGCTCAGGTCCAAGAGAAGTCCGCGCGGAGCTCCAAAATTTTTGTGTTTCTCAGATTGCGTCTCTTCTAGTATCAGGAGGGAAAAAACACACATACATAACTAATTGTCGATCCCCAAGAAAATATGGGACAATCTGGGAAGTTGGGATGAGACAAACACCCAGAACATATGGGAAAAGACGGGGAACATGTTTATGAGTGTGTATTTATTTGCGTGTTCCAGGGCCCCTTCATTCTAGTAGAGTGAGAGTGACTATGTCAGGTTGCGTTCCATCGTAGATTCCCAGGAACATGTGGGAAGTGATGGGGAAGACGACGGTCCAGAACAGATCGACAAATATAGTGGGAATCCTGTGACGTGTTTGTGTTTACTTCTTCCCTCCCTGGGCCTCTTCACTCCTCCGCTCCCGAGACCCTTGGTGCCAGGCACGCCTTCGACGTCCACGTGACCGACCTGCCCGGCGCCCTGCAGGAGCCGCGCGTCGAGCGCCTCCTCGGCGTCGGGCGCTCCGGGGAGGTCGGGCTCACCAAAAGGGGCCCAAGAGGCTCCAAGCGGCCCACGAGATGCCCCAAGAGGCCTCGAAGAGGCCACCACGAGGCCCCAAGAGGCCACCACGAGGCCCCAAGAGGCCCACGAGA